GGGCTGCCGGCCGAAGCTGTTGCTGCTGCCTCCCAAGTAGTAATTGTTCACATTATTGGCATTATTATTTGCATTTAAATTCAAATTAACTGGACAAAACAAAGAAGACCGCCGCGACCCGCAAGAAGAAGCTACGGACGCGTCCCCTCGGGGGGCCCCCCGGGGGGCCCCCAGGGGCTTCCCAGACAACAGCCGAAACAGCTGCACGCAAACCCTAAACCCTAAACCCTAAACCCTAAACCCTAAACACTAAACACTAGCTGGGCAGGCGACAAGAGGGCGTTCGCTTTTGGGGCTTAGCTTCTGCTTAGGGTTTAGAGTTTAGGGTTTGGGCCTTTTATGCTTTCAACGGTTTAGGGTCTGGGCCTCTTCTGTGCTTCTTAGGGTTTTGGGGTTTCTAGGGTTTAGGGTTTAGGGTTTCTGCCTCTTCTGCGCTGCTCGAAGCATCTAAGTTGTGGAATTAAGGGTTTAGGGCCTAGGCCATTCCCGTTCTGCTAAGGCTTCGGGCTATCTAGGGTTTAGGGTTTAGGGTTTACGCCTCTTCGGTGTTTCTTGGGGCCTAGCCAGTCGCCTTCTGCTGCATCAGCAAAAACAATTGTTGCATCTGTGTCAAACCTCCTTGCTTCTTCTTCTCTTTTGAATTTAGGGTTTAGGGTTTCGGGGTCTAGAGGTCCTCCATTTAAACTGATGTTCACTGCAGCAGGGGTTTCTGCTGCTGCTGCTGCTGCTGCTGCTGCTGCTGCCGCTGCTGCTGCTGCTGCAGTCGCGGGTTGCGCCGCAGCAGCAGCAGGAGCAGCAGCGCCGGCGGCTGAGGCCTCCGCTGCTGCAGCAGCAGCAGCTGCTGCTGCTGCTGCTGAGTTGGGGTGCGTGTAGAAGCCGATGCCTGTTTTACTTTTGGAGAATCTAGCTGTTGCTGCTGCTGCTTTCTTTTTCTCTGCTGCAGCAGCAGCAGCAGCAGCAGCGTGGCCGACGGTTCTGCTGCGCTTGAGCTCGAGCTGGTTTGCTGCTGCTGCTGCAGACTTGCTGCTGCTGCTGTGGGCCACGCCGCCCATAACCCGCTTAATAGTGTTGAAGGCACTAACAATTTTGTTGTCTTTTTTCTTGTCTGCTGCTGCTGCTGCTGCTGCTGCTGCTTCTGCTGAGGCCCCCTTGCAGGTAAGAGTATAGAGGGGGGCCCTGGTGTTGGGGTCGGTGCCCTGGAGGGTGACCTCAAGGAGGTCGATGCTGCTGCTGCTGCTGCTGCTGCTGCCGCTGCTGCTGCTGCTGCTGCTGCTGCGGCGAAGCCCCTGCTCCTCTCTCTCTCCAGCATCTGTTGTTGCATGTTCAATTAATCTCAAATTAAACTTCGGGTCAAATCCAGAAGCCTTCAGGCCCTGGCCCCTTGCTGCCAGCAGGTGGGCTTGCCGTTGCTGCAGCAGCAAAACACGCCCCCTGCTGCTGCTGCTGCTGCTGCTGTTTTGGACTCTGCTGCTGCTGCTGTTATATATATATATATTATATTAATTAGCTATTTAATTTAAAAATAAATTATTAAATTGAAAACAATAGTAAGACTTGCCTGTTCTGCTTCCGTTCTCTTCCTCAGAAGTCCTTCTTCTCGGGACGGCAGCGCCTCGAGGCCCCCAGCAGCCGCAGCAGCAGCAGCAGCTGCTGCTGCTGCAGCAGCAGCAGAGGAGGAAGACACAGCTGTCTGGTCTCCGAACCCTTCAGTCTCTTCGAATTTGCCGCTAAGGCCTCTATTGGAGAAGTAAGAATTACTGCCAGCAGCAGCAGCAGCAGGAGATGCAGCAGCAGCAGCAGCAGCAGGAGAGACAGCAGCAGCAGCAGCAGCAGGGCTTAGGCCTTGGAACTGCAGCCGCTGCGGGGAAAGCACGCGGCCCTTTGCTGCTGGGGTGTCTGCTGCAGTTGCTGCTGCGCCCACTGGAGAACCTGCTGCTGCAGCAGCAGCAGCAGCAGCAGCAGTTGCTGCTGCTTGGGAGCCGCTGCGGCGAAAGCCAGGCAAAGTGTCAGTGCGAGACATCAGCTGCTGGTAATTGGGATTTAAATTAATTTCCTTGCTGCTGCTGTTGTTTAGCCCCACAGTGTGGCTGCTGCCCCCAGCAGCAGCAGCAGCAGCAGCAGCAGCAGCAGCAGCAGCAGCAGCAGCAGTGGCAGCAGCAGCAGGAGACTCGTCGTCCCCTTCTTCTTCTTCTCCTGTCTCCTCGCTGGGAACCACCCAAGAGTAAATTGCTGCTTCGTGCAAAGACAGAAAAGCCTGCAAACAAATAATTCATTATTTGCAAATAATTGATAATTATAAATTGATAATAAAATAAATAAATAAATAAGTGAAATAAAGGAAACAATTAGATAATGAAATAGTGAAATAAATAAAATAAATAAAAGAAATAAAACGAAATGTATGAATAAATGAACAAAAGATAAAGTAATTTGGTTTAATTAATTCATTTTTAAAATAAATGAATAATAAATGGTAAATAGACAGCAAATAAATAATAAAGAAAATAAAAAGTAAATGTTAAATAAATGCTAAATAAATAATTAATGAACGATAAAAAATTAATCACAAGAAAATGATAAAGAAATGATAAATAAATGACAAAGAGTCAAAAAACAAATAAAAATGACAAATAAATAATGAGTAAATAATAAAAATAACAAGTAATTAACAAACGATAAATGAATAATAAATAACAAATAAACAATAAATAAACAAAAAATAACTAATAAATAAATAATAGATGACAAACACCAAAACCACCAAAAAAGCAAAAAATAAACAAAATAAAATAATAAACAAAATAGACAAAATAAAAACAAAACAAAAACAATAAAAAATAAAGCAGAAAGAATAAATGTAAGAAATAAAACAAACAATAAAATAACCAATTAAATGAATGAAGCACAAATTAAAACAAATTAAAAACGCATGCAAAACGAATTAAAAAAAACAAAACCAAATCAAACGAATTAAAGGCAAATAAAACAAACAAAACAAATAAAACAAATGAACGAAACAAATAAACAAAAAAGTAGAACAAACAAACAAAACAAATAAAACAAATAAACGAACAAAAAACAAACAATAAAACAAGCACACAAACGAACAAAACAAATAAGCAAACAAATGAACAAACAAATAAACAAACAAATAAAATAAACAAATAAATAAGAAATAAATGAATAAATAAATAAATAATAAAAATAAATAAATAAATAAATAAATAAAAATAAACAAAAGTACCTGTGAAATGTCCGGAGATTTGATTTCCAAATTTCCCAAACGGTCCACTCGCCGCCAGCCGAGTTTTGGGACAATTCGGTCCGCGTGGGTCAAAACATCAGTTCCTGAATTAATTAATTAATTAAAGAACTAATTAATTAATTAATTAATTAAATTAATTAATTAAATTAAATTAATTAAATTAATTAAATTAAATTGAATTAATTAAATTGAATCGAGTTGCTGCAGTCCAGTCAGAGAAGAAAGTCGATCGCCGCCACGGTGCCCCTAAACCCTAAACCCTAAACCCTAAACCCCAAACCCTAAACCCTGAAGCGTAATATATGTGCCCTGAAAAGCTTGGAAGTATCTAAAACCCGCGCAAACCCTCAAAACCCTTCTAAACCCTCCAAAGCCCGTACAAACCCTTACAAACAGCCTCAAACCCTTCCAAGCCCTCGAACGCTCGAAAGCGCAAACCCTAAACCCTAAACCCTAAACCCTAGACCCGCGGCCTGCCTTTGAAGAGCCAGTGGTTTTCGAGGGCCTTCCTGTCCTCCAAGTACTGGTGGTCTATCATGCGCATGACGGCCTCGAGGTAAACCCTACGAAAGGGTTTGGGCGGGTAAGGGTTTAGGAGTCTGTAGAGAAGTTCGAAAGTTATTCCGTTTATCAACAAAATCAAAAACACTGATCCCGAAATGTAAAAAGACAAAACCTCCTTCACCGAAGAGTTCAAACTCGAGTCCCGCTCAATCCGCAGCCCCAGCGCCAGCACTATGCCCCCCCGCAGCCCGCCCCAAAACAGCAGGATCACCTGCAGCAGCAGCAGCAGCAGCAGCAGCAGCAGCAGCAGCAGCAGCAGCAGCAGCGGCGGCGGCGGGGGAGCAGCAGCAGCGCGGGAGAAGCAGCAGCAGCAGCAGCAGCAGCACAGCAGGGAGACAGAGAATGGTGAGGGACTGGAAAGGGGAAAATAACGAATTAAAAATGTGCTGCTGCTACTGCATTTGTCTCCTTACTGCAGCAGCAGCAGCTGCAGCAACAGCAGCAGCAGCAGCAGCAGGACACCATAAGACAAGTGCTCTTCATCTGAGGCATTTACAACTAAATAAAAATAACAAACAAACAAATAATAAATGAAAAACAAAATCAATAAATAAATAAATAAAAATAAAATAAATGGACAGAATGAAAAAGGGAGAACTGCTGAGCTGTCCCGGCGCATTTTAAACTTACGAAAAAAACAAAAAAAATAATTTTAAATAAATAGAATTAAAAATAAAACAGAAGAGAATTAAAGCCCTAAAAGGGAGTTTAAACAACAAAGCTCTTTCAAAATAAATGAAATGAAATAAAATTACAAAAGGAGCCAAAACCCTAAAAAGGGGTATACGAAATAATCAAAACTCTTTTACAAAATTAACAAAACAAACAAATTAAACAAAACAAACAAAACAACCAAATTAACTAAATTAAAAAATAAACAAATAAATCAAACAAGCTAATTAAATATATTGAATAATTTAAATAAACAAATAATTAAATCAGATCAAATTAAATAAATAAACCAAACAAAATAGATAAAATAAACAAGTAGATAAAATAAATAAAATGAATAAAAAAAATAATAAAATAAATAAAATAAATAAACAAAAATAAATAAATAAAACAAAAGATCTCTCTTCTCCTAAGTCTGTTTCCAATTGGGACATTTAAATAAAAATAAATCAAAGAAAGATTCGACCAAATTGAAATTCATTTAACGACAATTAATAAATAAAACAAATAAAACAATCAAAATAAAGCAAACTGCATAAATAATTAAATAAAAAATTAAATTAAATTAAATTAAACAAACTTCTCTCCAACTGAGTTCTTATCCTGTTCTTCTAAAGCGATGTTTAAATAAAAATAAATTCAAAAAAATTTAGGCAAAAAGAAATTCCATTTTAACAAAAACTAAGAAAAAGATAAAACAACCAAAATAAAGCAAATTAAATAAATAAATAAATAAGTAATCAAACGAACAATTAAATAAACAATTAAATAATAAATAAATAATAAATTAAACTAAATTAAACTAAATACCTCTTTCCAGCTGAGTCCATATCCAGTTCTCTATAAGATTGGCAAAAATAAAATCAACATTAAAACCCTCGGAATGTTTAAATAAAAAAAATTCCTTTTAACAAAAACTAAATAAATAAAGAGATAAAACAGCTAAAATAGAGCAAATTGAATAATTAAAATGAAATAAATTAAATCCAATTAAATTGAATTAAATACCTCTTTCCAACTGAGTCCGTATCCAGTTCTTCGGAGAATTGGAAGGAAGAAAATTAACATTAAAACCCTCGCGATGTTTAAATAAAAATAAATCAAAAGAAGATTGAGCCAAAAAGAAATTCCATTTTCTTTTGTAAAAACAGAACTCAACATTCCGTAAGTCACAATCCCTGAAACTATAAATATTGTGCAGTTCCCCATCAGCGCCAGCGCTGCACACACACAAACACTAGGATTTAGGGTTTAGGGTTTAGGGTTTAGCAGAGGGTCGGGCTGGAGAGCGTTTCGGAGGGGGGAGGGGTTCAGAGGGGGGAGGGTTTGAGAGAGTTTGGCAGGGGTTAGGGTTTAGGAGGGTTTCGTAGTGGGGACGAGGGTTTGGGAGAAGGGTTTGGGGTTTAGGAGGGTTTAGGGATTGGAAAGGAGGGGGGCTTGGACACACAAACCCTCTTAAAGCTGCAGAGAGAAGGAAGCTAGGGTTTAGGGTTTAGGGTTTCATTGCTGGGGCTTCTTTCCTAACAGCTTTCCCGCGTCTAAAGCCCAAAGCCTAGGGTTTAGGGTTTAGGGTTTGCTGCTGCTTTGACTTCTTCCCAAGAGCTTCCTCTCGCGTAGCTCCCAAGTCAGGGGTTTAGGGTTTGAGTTAGAAGATGCTAGTTCTCACTAATAAGACCTAGGGTTTAGGGTTTGAAATGTGCATCTCGGTCCAAAGCAATATGTCCATAGGGTTTGGGGTTTACTAGGGTTTAGGGTTTACTAGGGTTTACTAGGGTATAGGGTTTACTAGGGTTTACACAAACCTGCAACAAAAGTTTGAGTTTGACGCCTGTGCATCTCTATTTAACACAATACGCGCATAGGCCTTAATAAAGAGCCTCTCTAAACCGTATATATAGCTTCACGAGGGTTTAGGGTTTAGGGTTTAGGGTTTCCAGTGGTTTAGGGTTTGTACAACCTGCAAGAGAAGTTAGATGCTTCGCCTGCGCGTTTCTATCCAGTGCAATTTGAACAAGCAGCCTCTCTAAACCCTACCAACTACTGCACCCAGCTTTAACTAGGGTTTACCCATTAGGCTTTAGGGTTTAGGGTTTAGGGTTTAAACACCTCCAACAAACATCTGATGCTTAGCTTGCGCATCTCTATCCAACGCAACATGCCCATAAGCCTTTATAAAAAACCCAAAACGAAGCTCTCTAAACCCTACCTACCACTTCACCCACGCTATCCTACCCTTTACGCTAATTTAGGGTTTAGGGTTTAGAGTAGTACCTGCAACAAAAGTCTGATGTTTGGCCTGCGCATCTCTGTCTAAAGCAATATGTCCATAAGCCTTTATAAATAGGCCAAAACAAACAACAGTGAGGGGCCCGGAAAGCTGGAAAACGGCCTCGGCGAGGAAAAACGAAATGTAGCAAAATGTGATGAAGGCCAGACTCTGGGTGAGGGGGAATTTGCGGAAAAAGAGGAGCCAGGCGTAGGCGAGGAGGCCGACGGCGGCGCCGAAGGCGGGCCCGAGGAAGAGCAGCTTGACGAACATCAAAAAGGTCGAAAAGGGGGTTTCCGCAACTCCCTGAAGCAGCAGGAAAAAGAACTGGAAAAGCAGCACGGCGCTCCCGTCGTTTATCAGCGACTCGCCTGCAACAAACGCCGCCAAAATCCGCCCCGGGGCCACCCTTTTACGCCGATTTAGGGTTTAGGGTTTCGCCCCGCGCGGCGGGCGCGCCGCCGCCGGCGCGCGCAGCAGCCAGCCAACCGCGGGGAGCCGCGCGGGGGGGTTGCGGGTTCCTAGGGTTTAGGGTTTAGGGTTTGGGGTTTCGTTCCGGGAGTAACCGAATTCAGGACAGACACATGCTCGAGCTGAGGGGTTAGCGTTTAGCACTAACACTCTGCACAGCCCACATCTCACTCCCTAGGGCTTAGGGTTTAGGGTTTAGGGTTTTGTCGAGGCATTGACAGAGTTCAGGACAGAGAGATAGTCAAGTTGAGGGTTTAGGGTTTAGCACAAACACTCTGCACAGCCCACATCTGACTCCTTAGGGTTTAGGGTTTAGGGTTTAGGGTTTAGGGTTTGTACCGTCGAACATGGTGCAGAGTTTGTCGGAAGCATTAACGGAATTGAGCACCGACAGCACTGCCACAGGGTCTGTCGAAGACAAAGTTGCTGCCAGCAAAAAGGAAGGAAGAAAATTAGGGTTTAGGGTTTGGGAAAAGCTGGAGAAGAACAAAAGCCCCAAAACCCCCACCTGCAGCGCCACCCCCAGCACCGCCAGCGTCAGCCCCCCCAAAATGAACTTTTTGAACTTGTAATAATTAATGTTTTGAGTCGCTTCATAAAGGAGAATTGGCATCAAAACGAAGTAAACGACGGAAGAGTCAATGAAGCGCATTTCCAGAATCGCGGTCTGCAGAATGTTGTGTCCCACCAGCGGCGCCCCCTGCTGCTGCTGCTGCTGCTGCTGCTGCTGCTGCTGCTGCTGCTGCTGCTGCGGGGGCAGCAGCGCGGGCGCGGAGGCCACGCCGTAGGCCGCCATGCCAAACACAAACCACACAATTGAAACTGGCGGCGGGTAAACTGGAATTTTGGAAACCAACCACTGCAGCAAAATGGCGAAAAAAAACAAAAAGGAAAAAAACGCCAGAGACGGCGCGATGGGGATCGAGCTCGCCGCGCCGCCCCCGCCCTCGCACGCCGCCAGCCGCCTCCCGCTGCTGCTGCTGCTGCTGCTGCTGCTGCTGCTGCTGCTGGGGGGGGGGGGCGGCGCGGGGAGCGGGGGGGCGGGGGGGGCCCCCGGCCGCGCGGCCAGGGGGGCCCCCGCGGCCGCCGCGGGGGGCCCCTGCGCGGCGGAGAAGAAAGAGGGCGCGGGCGGCAGAAAAGATCCAAGTGCTGCGTGCCGCCACAAGTGGTTTAGAGCAGCAGCAACGCAAACCCCAAAGAGCGGCAACAGGGCCCCGGGTGTACGTACACCGCGCCGCCGCGGGCGCTTCGCCGCGCACGGCGCCGCGGAAGCGCCAGCGCCACTTGCTGCTGCTGCTGCTGCGCCCGCGCCGGCGCGGGCCGCGGAGGAAGCGGCGCCTGCTGCTGCTGCTGCTGCGGAGAGAAAACCAGCCAGCCGCCGACGCGGCGCAGAAGGCGCTTCGCAAGTCCGCACCGCGAGGGGGTGCCGATCTGCCGCGTCGTTCATCTTCTTCACGCTTTTCAAACTCCGCAAAACAGGAACTGAAAAATTAAATCGATTTCAACGAAAAATTAAAGAAATCGCCCGCAAAATCATCGAGATTTCACTAAGAACGGCTCGCAGCGCCGCCCCAGCTGTCTGTACACCGCAGCGCCCCACCACAGACTCCGCCAACCTCCGTTTCTATTCTTCTCCTTTTGCACAATCTTGAAAAGGGGAAAAGAAAGAAGTAAAAGCGAATTGAAGAAGGATTAAAGGGAACTGAAAACGCAGGGGCTTCTCTGCATGCGCCCGAGCTGCAGCTGCTGCTGCTGCTGCTGCTGCTGCTGGGGTGCTGCTGAGGCTGTAAGTCACTTAGTTTTCGCCAAGTGGACCTTTACAAATCCCAGATTTCCCAAATTTCAAAGAATTACAAACTTTTGGGGCCCCAAATGACACAGAACGTGGGGCATGCAGCCCCAGCAGATCGTGTCCCACGATCGCTGCTATTCCTGCTCCTGCTGCTGCTGCTGCTGCTGCTATTCTTCTGGGGTCACAAGCGGCAGAATGCGCGTTTAATTGAAGATTGAGAAGTAATTATGTATTCAGTTTGAAAGGGAACTTTAACAAAGCTAAAATGAAAACAATTAAACGACTTTTACTCCCACAGCCCCACACCCTGCATCCACGCAGCAGCGGCTCCTCGGGTGTGCGTACACCTGAATTTGGGGCCATTTGCGTGGATTTTTTGTGCATTATTTTCCCCAGAAAGTATCCACTTAAAGTGCGTGCAAGTTATTATTTAATTCTTCATTTGTAACTCTTTAAGTAGTCAGTAATATTAACATTTAAAGTCAAAAATGAATAATTCCGGGAACTGCCCATATGGGACTTCTGTATTTCTTTGTCACATAAATTCTACTGTCTACAATGCGTCCAAAACCTTAAACCCTAAACCCTAGACCCTAAACCCTAAAACCTAAACCCTAGTTTCTAAACCTTCAACGCCCTTCCACCTCTCTGTGCAAAGGCCTTCGTTCAGCTGGGCAATTTGCGCCTGCCCCCAAACCCTAAACCCTAAACCCTAAACCCTCGTCTCAATGCAGCAGAAGGGAGAAAGCCCCTGAGAGTTTTTGCAAACGAAAAAGGAAATGAAGTTTTAATTCGAAACACTACAAAGCCCCAAAACTCCGAAAGAAACTAAACAAAACGCCCCGTGCATGCAAAAGGCGAATGCATGCATTAGTAAAATGCATGAATTCTCGGAAGCCCCACTCCTCCATGCATTGATGGAATGCATGCACTGCCACAGTGCATGCATGCATCGCTAAAGTGCATGCGTGCATCCATAGGATGCAGGCATGTATTAATGGCATGCATTCATGCATTAAAAAAGTGCATGCATGCATTGAGAGACTGCATGCATGCATTAACAGTGATAAACCGCATGCACGCATTAACAGTGATAGACTGCATGCGTGAATGCAAGCAAGAATAGACTGCATGCATGCATGCATGCATAAATATACTACCTGCATGCACTTTCAGAATGCACGCAGGCACATTTGCATGCCTTCCTAGGCCACACTCTGCGCACGCATGCATGCATTAATGCATGCAATAATGCATGCACTAATGCATGCATTGATACATGCAATAATGCATGCATTAATGCATGCATGCATTAGTTTGGGGCTTTTGGCTGGGCCCCACAGAGCGAAGCTGTGTGGCGTTTGTGGCCCGTTAGAGTTTGCATGCAAGAATGCATGCAACTTTTGCGTTTTTTGTCCGTTTTTCTTGGCTTTTGTTGCATTTTTGTGCAGGATTTTGAATGGTTGTTAATCTGTGATTTATTTGTCTTCAATTTGCGTCAAATTGCATTTAATTTCGTTTTATTTTCGCAAATTTTCCTCCAAAAGTTCACGAAAGTGGCACGAAGCTGCTGTGGTCCGCCACGCCCTTCCACATTCGCTCGTCGCCCCTTATGGTGTACGTGTCGTAAATCTTCGCCGGGTTAAACTGAAATAAAAATAAATAAATAAACAAATAAATAAATAAATAAATAGACAAATAAATGAATAAATGAATAAATGAATAAATAATTGAATAAGCAGCAAATAAATGATTGTGACTCGAAAAAAGCCAGAAAAAAGAGTGGAAAAAATTGACCAAGGGCTTAGGGTTTAGGGTTTAGGGTTTAGGGTTTGGCTCACGACTTCCCATCTGGAGGCGGGGAAGATGTGTTTGTTTCTTTCAAACCACTTTTTGTCCACCACTTTTCCTGCATGCGAGTCTTCTTTTTCTTTTCGAATATCCGAAAAAACTCGAACATCATCAAAAGCCCCGAAGTGAAACAAAGGCCCCGACTTGCCCCGCGCTTTGCTTTTTATCAATTCAAAAAATGTTATGTGCTGAACACCACAAGCAAACAGCTAGCTCGAGCTAGCTGTGGGTAGTTGTGGCTAGCTGTGGCTAGCTGTGGCTAGCTGTGGCTAGCTGTGTATAGTTCCGGCTAGCTGCAGCTAGCTGTGGCTAGCTGTGGCTAGCTGTGGCTAGCTGCAGCTAGCTGTGGCTAGCTGCGGGTAGTTCTGGCTAGCTGTGGCTAGCTGCAGCTAGCTGC